GAGAAAAAGTGATATTTAACATGAAAAAAACAAAATTTTTTTTCTTTTAAAACTGATCTTAAAATTGCACAGTTACGTGAAAATCACCCATATACCAAATTTCGAAATCACAATTTTCCTGGGTAAATACGCTCACTTTATCTTTTCAAGACGGAACAGTTTTATTTTTTTAATATTAAAATTCGTCTTATTCCCGTCTTAAGTATGATTTATTATTGATAAACTATGAGTGCCATAAACAATTCTATAAACAACAAATTGGTTTAATAAATAATGAATATAGGTTTCACGAATTACAACTACACAGGAAAAAAGAAGTGTTATTATAACACTAAAAGTAGTGTTAAAACTACACGCAACATTGTTAACCGACACTGTGTGATTTTAACACTACATTGGTGTTAAAATATCAATAGAGTCAAAAACAATATTATTGGAAACTTTGATACTCTAATTTTTCATTTTCGTAAAGAAAGTGTAAAAATGTTATTTTTTGTGGGAGAATTGGCTGTCGCAAAATTGCGATTTTAGTGCTGGTTTAGTAACCTTTTGGTTTGTTTACATTTCACAACTTGGACATAATCTCTACTGTTTCGGAGATATTCCATTTGTAACAACTGCACAGCGTAACAGCCGCACCTACTCTCCTCTACTTTATTTAGGAATATATTCTTGGCTCCTATTTAAGTCTCACGTATTCTTAAAGTAAGTTAAAAATTCTAAATATTAGAATAACGTTTTTTCAGTGCACCCCTGATAAATGGGTTTTCTCGCCAGTGGAGAGTGAAACTCTAAAAAACCTTTCCGAGTACAACCGGTTTATCGATAGCCGAGTTATAATGGTGTGTACCGGACAATAATCGACAGTGCACATCATTATACTTCGACGTCAAACCTCCCTCTTGATATATTACCAAAGTAATGAGAAAACACAGGGCTATAGCGAGAGTCGAAGCGCGGTCACCAAGTACTAACTCTGTACTGAGGTCTGCTTAACCTCGACGATCGCAAGCCACGGAGTCTCACCACCGTGACATACCATCGCATCGGTAGAATGCTGCCGTCCTGATTTAAAAACACCATATCTACACTTTTTATCAAAAATAAGTTTTTTATACGGTTGGTTTCGTAAAAAAAGACGAATTTTTCTATGATAATTATAATTATTAATATGTAAGATGTTGTAAACTATCGATCACTCCGAGTCAAATTGATTTGACTCGGAGTGATCGATAGTTTACAACATCTTACATATTATCAATTTGACCGAGTGATAAAATCAGGAGTTCTATATTATAATTATTAATCTTAATTAATTTTCGAGTTAATTAGGAGTTAATTTTACTAAAAAACACTATCTACATCGATTTCCGTCAAATCCTGATCCTAAATAGCCTATCTACAGTAGGTTTATGAGGATTTCAGGTCGTTTGACCAGTGATTTTCTGATAAACATAGCCTAAACTACGTAGATAGGCTATTTGAGATAAGGAACTCGAGCTTTGTAGAGGCTACTTTCCTGGTGGACTTGAGCTGTTTCTCCATGTTAATGAAATATAACATTATTTAAATCCATAGACAGAAAAAAATAAGTGTTAAATGTGTTGCGTGTAGTTTTCAGATGGTGTTGTTTTAACACAATTTTGGTGTTATTTTAACCCCATTTAAAATGTATATTAATTTAAGACCCTCCAGTGTGATTTTAACACACTCTATTGTTATTTTAACACAGTAAAAAGTAAATCTTAATTTAAGAGCTGCCTTAAATTCAACACTGTCTGCTATAATGTTAAAGGATTCGAAAAACGTGCGTAAATTCAACATTGACTGTCTTAAAAATGTTGCATCTTAATTTAAGGCAGCTTTCGTGCCTTAAAATAAGATTTTCTTTTTACTGTGAACACCAATGTAGTGTTAAAATCCCACTGGAGGGTCTTAAATTAATATGCATTTTAAATGGGGTTAAAATAACACCAAAATTGTGTTAAAACAACACCATCTGAAAACTACACGCAATACATTTAACATATTTTAGTAAAATTAACTCCTAATTAACTCGAAAATTAATTAAGATTAATAATTATAATATAGAACTCCTGATTTTATCACTCGGTCAAATTGATAATATGTAAGATGTTGTAAACTATCGATCACTCCGAGTCAAATCAATTTGACTCGGAGTGATCGATAGTTTACAACATCTTACATATTAATAATTATAATTATCATAGAAAAATTCGTCTTTTTTTACGAAACCAACCGTATAAAAAACTTATTTTTGATAAAAAGTGTAGATATGGTGTTTTTAAATCAGGACGGCAGCATTCTACCGATGCGATGGTATGTCACGGTGGTGAGACTCCGTGGCTTGCGATCGTCGAGGTTAAGCAGACCTCAGTACAGAGTTAGTACTTGGTGACCGCGCTTCGACTCTCGCTATAGCCCTGTGTTTTCTCATTACTTTGGTAATATATCAAGAGGGAGGTTTGACGTCGAAGTATAATGATGTGCACTGTCGATTATTGTCCGGTACACACCATTATAACTCGGCTATCGATAAACCGGTTGTACTCGGAAAGGTTTTTTAGAGTTTCACTCTCCACTGGCGAGAAAACCCATTTATCAGGGGTGCACCGAAAAAACGTTATTCTAATATTTAGAATTTTTAACTTACTTTAAGAATACGTGAGACTTAAATAGGAGCCAAGAATATATTCCTAAATAAAGTAGGAGAGACTAGGTGCGGCTGTTACGCTGTGCAGTTGTTACAAATGGAATATCTCCGAAACAGTAGAGATTATGTTCCAAAGGGAAAAAGGTTTAGTTTTTATGTACGAACTTGGTGCAATATGTTTAAAAATTATATACAAGCTTTACAATTAAAAAAATAGGCCTACTGGTTTTTAAAGGCCAAAAGTAAATATTTCTCTGCTTGATATTTTTTAAATAATTAATAGACCTTTATACTTAACAAAGTAAATTTTTTAATATCCATTCTATAAGGATTAAGCTTCAAAAAACTGCCTTGCTTGTCCACATTTAGTGTATACTTTTTTAATAAAGTGATTTACTGTAAAAAAATGTTACTGTTGTGCAGTTGTTACAAGTGATGATAAGAACGGATATTTTTTTCAAAATTTAGCAAATTCGTTTGAAATGTAAAATGTTTGTCAAAAATGTAATCACACTAATTTTTTATGAAAAATTTCATGTTTTTTCTAAATTCGACTTCAAAATTAATGAGAAAATAACTTTTCCATTTTGAAACAATATTAATGCTGCCATCTTTATGGAACTGTCACGTACTATTACGTTGAGCCAAAAATTATGAATAATTACTAAAAATTGTTATAAAAAATTATTTGTCTTCAATTTAGAAATGTTATAGATGATTCTTGGTATTGTAACAACCGACATTCACTTTGTGCAGTTGTTACAATTTACACGCTGTCACTCAAATGCTTGTAGTTAATTAAATAATAGATATGGGCATATTTCTAGAACTTTTAAACTTTTAGGTTATTTGAAAACTTAATTTTTCTTTTTAAGGCACATTCTTGAAATTAATTTTATTGTTTTGTGCATTGATCAAATAGTATAAATTCTGTAGTCGGATTTCGAAAACTCCAAATGGCGGATCCAATATGGCGGATGAAAATTTAAAAAATAATTCAATTTACACAGAAGTGGGTATGAAGGGGTTTTTGAGGTCGCTAATTATTATGTATCTGAATTTCGTTTTTTAAAAATTTTAAAAGTGGTTTCAAAATGTCATAAAAATTATTGATATTTTAAATAGGGGAGAGTCTCCAGTTATGAGACACCTCCAGTTGTAAGACAGTCGATTTTTTTAACATGCAATATTAAAAAGCCGATTGGTTTATATAAAAACATTTCTTTTTATATGAGCCAACTTTTTCGTGTACGCCAAAGCGGATATATAAACTGTTTTTGTTAAATACCAACACTGTGTGTGATAATAGACTAAAAAGCGTTTTTTCAATAAATGCAAAGTACTTTTTTTCCAAGTTAATTAATTGGAAAAGGAAAATGTAATGCATTTTCTTTTAGTGTTTTCCTTATATTTTGTGATGCAATATTGCATTGTTCCAATCTACGGTTAAAAATAATTTAATTTTCCTTTTTCAAAATAGCGCCAATTTCTGGGTGTGAGACACAGCATATCACCAGTTGTGAGACGGTGTCAACACCCATCTGGGCAGCATAAAAAATACGACTTTGCAGGCATACTATTTAAATGTTGTTTTGATTTTTTTTTTCTAGTATTTTTGGGCATGTCAAGTGGAAAAAAGTCAATTGATTCAGAAGAAATCAATTTTAATGCTCTTGCAGAAGCTTTTAAATTGTGTTTATTTCATAGTCATATTTTGGCGAATAAATATTATTATTTAGTATTGTGACGGAGTGAATCGTCACGCCATCTCTGAATAATTTCCCCCCGACCGGTGCTGAGTGCGGACCGCGGTAATGTAGGTGCCGAGCTGCCAAGTGACCCACTAGTAGAAAAGAAAGTGTGTCGCTTGGCAAGTTAGTTCGGTAGTGCGAGGTCAGGACCAGCGAGTAGGTGAGAGAGAGATAGGAGGAGTGCCAAGAGAAGCGGAAAGAGAGAGAAGGAAGCTAGGAAGAAGACGAGGCAACAGGTGAAAGAAAGCGTCGGTGTCTTGACAATACTTTTGCCACCATTATTGCTTTAGCACGTGCTGAACTACTTTTGTCGCGCTTCGTATTAGAGAAACGTACGCGAGTAATTTCTTTCTTTTTGTATAAAAGGTGAGAATATTTTGAGAAAGTGGTTGAGAGTAATTTGAAATTTGTAGAGATTTAGAGCGGAATACTAAGTGTTGTGATTAATTTTGAGAAATAGGTGTAGATTAAAAAGAAAGAGAATATTTTTGTGAAGTGAAATTAGTTGGAGTTCATTTTTGTTCCGGTGAGACCTTCCCTTACAACACCCTAGAGCGTCGCCAGGAGCCGAGTTTCACCGGGTGCTGAACTACAAATCATCGTGGGTAAGTCCCACCAATATTGTGCCAGTCTTGGTCCAGTCGTGTCCCAGCGTTGGCGTTTCTGTCGTCATTTTCTCGGACAGAATTCCCTCATGAGACACGGTGGTCTTCAAGCACTTTTAGGTTTACCTAAAATGAGTCAAAATTGTGCTAACGCAGTTTTATCGGGAATCGGCCCAAGATTCCAAATTTTCATTTCCGAAAATCGTAGCTGATTCTTTTTTCGAAAAAAACCAAAAAAACATATATATATGGGCAATTCCACGTGAGATTTTAGTCGACGTCTTGAAATCGACCAAAAATATTTTTTTTCTATTCTGTATCGAAAAAAACAGATACGTATTTTTTTATTTTTGTTTAATTGTCCAAATTCTCGAGTTATGAATTTTCGAAATTTTGGACTTGTAATTGTAGACCTATATTTAGTAGCTTATAAGTCCGAAAATATTGAGTTTAGGAAAAATTTGTCACAGAATGAAAGTTTTAGTTTTCTTTCGACTTTTAAGAAATGTAAACAAAAAATTTTTTTTTAATTTTTTATTAAAAATTAATTTTTTTTTATAAACAAATTAATTTTTTTTTATAAACAAATTAATTTTTTTTAACTTTAGCCCGGATTTTTTTTATTTTTTTTAAATTTATTTATTCCTTATAATATAGAGGAAGATTTTCCAAAAAATCCCGAGAGGTGGGACTGATGTGTTGAATGAGTTTTAAAACATTTTCAAAAATTACTTGCAATCATCACAGTGGGATTTTTCTTACAATTAACTTCTAAAATTGTCTATACAGCGTAGATCCTTTAATTTAAAAAAAGAACTCTCAAATAGATTAAAATTATACACTGTAGACAATTTTAGAAGTTAATTGTAAAAAAAATCCCACTGTGAAGATTGCAAGTAATTTTTGAAAATGTTTTAAAACTCATTCAACACATCAGTCCCACCTCTCGGGATTTTTTGGAAAATCTTCCTCTATATTATAAGGAATAAATAAATTTAAAAAAAATAAAAAAAATCCGGGCTAAAGTTAAAAAAAATTAATTTGTTTATAAAAAAAAATTAATTTGTTTATAAAAAAAAATTAATTTGTTTATAAAAAAAAAAAAATTTTTAATAAAAAATTAAAAAAAAATTTTTTGTTTACATTTCTTAAAAGTCGAAAGAAAACTAAAACTTTCATTTTGTGACAAATTTTTCCTAAACTCAATATTTTCGGACTTATAAGCTACTAAATATAGGTCTACAATTACAAGTCCAAAATTTCGAAAATTCATAACTCGAGAATTTGGACAATTAAACAAAAATAAAAAAATACGTATCTGTTTTTTTCGATACAGAATAGAAAAAAAATATTTTTGGTCGATTTCAAGACGTCGACTAAAATCTCACGTGGAATTGCCCATATATATATGTTTTTTTGGTTTTTTTCGAAAAAAGAATCAGCTACGATTTTCGGAAATGAAAATTTGGAATCTTGGGCCGATTCCAGATAAAACTGCGTTAGCACAATTTTGACTCATTTTAGGTAAACCTAAAAGTGCTTGAAGACAACCGTGGAGAGTGAGAGTGTCTCTGAGGTTTTGCTAGCCGTTTTGATTGTTGTTCATGTAATTGTGTCTAAAGTTTATTAATTAATCTTAAAATTAATTGGCGCCTGATGGCGAATTTTTAAATAATATAAAAATTCCATAGAGTTAAAATCGAGCGTCAGGTTTCTTGATGTTACAGAAAATTCTTTATCAATATTTCTTTATTAAATTAGAATTAACGTCATAAAAATTGGCGCCCAACGTGGGGCCAAGTCCGAGCCAAGAGACACGACTGAGACACATAAATTGGCATATTAAATTTTTACATTTATACTTCTTTGAGTGCCAGAATTATTGCACCATGTTTTTCCCTGTGTCAGCCATGTTGTAATTGTCTGCCGGAATTTTGAAATTTTCTTATCGCCAGAGTCAGTATTTTAATATTGACAATAGCCAGAAAATTAAAAATTTAAATTGCCAGAGTGATAAAATTTTATTTTGCCGGAGAAAATATTTTTTTTTGTTGTTTGCCAGTGCCAGACAAAATTTTTCTATGAAAGTCATAGACAATTAACTGCCACATTTTCCCCATTGAAGACGAAATAAAAGTGTAGCGTCCTTCTTGCCGTGTGTGAGTAAATTTTCTTTGTCGCGAGAAATTTCACCGTAATGCCGTAGCCGTAGTTAAAAACCCTGAAATAAATTTAAATTTAATCTTCTCTAAAATTGCCAGAAACCAGTGCCGTGAAAATTATAGAATAAAATTCCTAAAGAAATCTTGGGAATAGTACGGGAAAAATTGTAAAACTCAAAAATTTCTTTAAAATTTCGCTTTGAGCACATGTTCAACCGGAAATAAAATTCGAATTCGTCACGTGACTGGGAATAGTGCGCCGGACGGTCAGGAAAATCGACGCGCCGGTACATTTAAAATTTTCAACAGCGAAAGAGAAAGGTTGCGCGCGCGACGGGCAAGAGAATTAGATTAGTAGTAGTAGTAGCGACGGAAGAAAGAGAGAGAACGAGCGGTAGAGAAAGAGAGGAGAGAAAGCATCGAGTCGTGAGTCAGCCAGAAAAATTTAAATTTGAACAAGGGGCCCTCGAGTGTGATACTTTACTGCACATTCAAGGTCATTCAGGGCCGTGTATACAAAGGGGGTTTTGATTTAATTCAATTAAAATTTTTTTTTTTTTTTCAAAATTTTTTTTGATGGCGAAAGCGATCGCCGAAATGGACAATTACGTGACACGAATGAGGGAATTAATAGAGATTCCAGAAGCCAGACAAATCTGGAATAGAATAGTTCAGATGCAACCCGGCCAGGTAGTAACAACCCTTTATCAACAAAATTTGTCAATAGCCGGTACCGTGCCAGTGTTGCGAGAGAGACTACTCAGGGTTGAGTTAAGATTATCATTCCCTCCAGAACTCAATGTTCCCTTTAGCCAGCAGTATGACTCGGGAACTTCTGCCAAGATCTTCCTTCTGGAAGCCCTGCCAGAGCCCTATGAAGAATATTATCGAAATGTCACGACGAAAAGAGGGGGTGACGTCTCATCGAGTGAAGAGACAGAGAGCGATGAAAGAGGGACAAGCCATCGGTCAAAGAGAACAGGGAAAGAAAACCAAAGTAAGGGGGGAGGCAATGGAAACCTGGGGAGGGGAGAGTCGCACAGTAGAAATTTTCCGACCATCGACTTACCCATGGCCCAGTACACACCGCCAACGCTAACTAATACCACAGCTAGCATGTCAACGGTCTCCCCCACCACTTCAGTAGCACAGTTAAGTACTACCACATGTGTAATAACAACAGCACCCCAAACAATAATATCCGCGACCATGGCGCCGAGTATGACAGAACTAAGGGCCTCTAGTATGAAATTAAACCTCTCACCAGAAATGCGTCGTTTATTAAACTTAGCAAAGGATTTAGATCACCAAACGACACAAAACTGGGAATTTAGACAAAGCCAATGTCGGACTGAAGTGGGCCAAACCTACGGGATGACCCATTTGCAAGAGACCAGATTTTCATCCCCACTACACAAAGCCAAACCATCCGCAGAAGGCAAAGAAAATTATTATACACATAGAAACGTAGTGCCGGAAAGAGTCCCCAGTAATAGTGACAGAGTCAGTGTGCCAGAGTTGAGCGATAGTGTCAGAAGTAGAGATAGCGAAAGAAGTAAAAAGTCAAGGAATAGTAGGCAAAGAAAAATAAAGAGTGAGGATGAGGAAGAACAAGGGTCTTCAGTAAGGAAAAGTAGAAATAGGGCAAGCAGTAAAGAAAAATATAGAGAGAGAGAAAGAAAAAGAGAGAGGGGGGGAGATAAAACTAACAGTAAAAATAGGACACCCCCCCACCGAGAGCCGTGGAGATACGATAGTTGTAAGTCACTTATCGACGACTCAGTGAGCGAGTCGGACACAGAGAGTGACAGTAGTCAGAGCCGGACAAGCCAGACAGAGAGGAGGAGAAATCATACTAAATTGGAGAGAAGATCGAAAGTGACCAAGATTCTCAAAGATTGGGACCTAACATTTGCCGGAAGCGAAGATGAAGATGCCGAATATTTCTTGGAAAGGTTAGAAGACTGCAAGTCTTGCTCCGCCCTTTCAAATGAAGAAATGTTGCAGGTTCTTCCCATCATCCTAAAGAAGAGTGCCAGTAGTTGGTTTCGTTCACTGCGAAGAGAGATTAAGTCATGGAAAGCGTTTAAAAAGGCTTTCAAAAACGAGTACTTAGTCTCACTAGATGACGATGACGTCATCGACGAGTTGAGAAGCCGGACACAAGGAGAAGGGGAGAAAATTTCTCCATATCTTACGAGCCTTCGATTCATCATAGGACACATGAAACGCCCCCTGGAGAGGAGCCAACAAGTCAAGATGGCGTACAAGGGCCTCACGCCAGAATACCGGAGACAATTAGACCGCCTCTATTTCGACTCTATGAGCCAGATGGAGAAAATTCTCCGAAATTATGAGAAAGCCAGGGAACTAGACAAGAGATATGTACCCCCACCACCCAAAGACAACATGCGTTTCCCGGCCGCAGCGTGTAAAGAGACGAGGACAGAAGATAAAACATGCAGAAAAAAAGGTGACAAGAGTGAAAAGGTAGCGGCCTTAGAGAACGAGTCAGAGCCAGAGTCAAGTGAGAGTGAACACCCTACTAAAGAGAAGAGCAAAAAGAAAATAAGAGTAAGAAGGACAAGACGAAGTCAAAAGAGAAAAGCGTCAACGCGGTAAAGGAAACCACGCCGCCTAAGAAAAAAGAGACGTCGAAGAAGAAGGGATCCGAACAACCCCCAAAACAAAACCCAGTAGTGCCAGACAACGTAGTTTCTTCAACCACCTTCGCCGAAGTAATTGCGGCAATAGGAAAACAATTTCTTCCACAACAGTCCGGAATTAAAAATCCAAATTGCGGTCAAGGAGTGCAGCAAAACCCTCTGCCAGCGCAACCGAGCCAGAAACAATTCGTAGGAGCTTGTTTTCACTGCCAGTTGGTAGGACACCGATCTTTCGAATGTCCTCAAAGGGTTTGTTTTACCTGCAGACAAATAGAACATTACTCTAAACAATGCCCATTAAAACCAGCACAGATAGAGTCATGCATATTATGTAAGACTCAAGGTGTGACATTTTTAACATGCCAAAATTGTGCCGGTATTAGAACCATCTTGGGAAACGGTGGCGGGGGGGGCACAGAACGAGCTTGTACCCCCCTCCAACTCAACCGGAAATTAGACGATACAAAAACAGAACATTGCGCGCCAAAACCGGAAACAAGAGCCAGGTTGGAAGAGAAGAGAGTGCCTGAGAAGAATAAAAAGAGAGAAGAGTACCCAATTAACCATGGTGCGACTTGTAGTTGGGTAAAAACAGAAAGAGAGTTAGAGTTAGAGAGTGAAAGAGAAACACTCAAGAAAGAAATAGAGAATAGAGTTAGATTAGGGTCAAAATTAGGTAGAGACGAATTAAATGAAGAGAATTCTTTTAAATTTGGGTCAGAAACGTTCCGGATAGAATCAAGTGAGAGAAGCTCACTCCATCAGAGTTTAGGAACAAATTCGGGAGTAGGGTGTAGTACTAAAGGTACAAGTGAAGTACCAATAGTCCTAGGGAGGGAAAGAGCTGTGACGAGCACAGCTGACACTACCCCAAAACCAGAAAAGAACATATGTGCCTCGAGAACAGAAAATCGGTTTTTCTTTAAAATGTTTATCGGGAATCAACCATATGAAGCACTTTTCGACTCAGGTGCCATGATTTCAGCAATCAGTACTCGAGTCGCTGAACCCTACAAAAACCGGATACAACCTTGCGAAACGGCCATAAGGAGTGCAATCGGAGGTACTACCGAAACAGCCGGACTCTTGAACTTATCGATAACTGTCGATGGCCATGCGAAGAAGTTCGGAGTCAAGGTGATCAAAGCCCTGACCCAAGATATTATTCTGGGGATCGATTTTTGCAAAGTGTGGCAAATGGAAGTCGACCTTGGAAAAGGACTATGGAGAGTCTGTGGAAGAGACTGGCATGAATTTGGAGTGTGCCAAGAGAGAGATGGTGAAGAGCTGATCTTCGCAGAATGTGCCGGAATCTCTGCACTCGACGACGAACAAAAGATGACCATCCAAGCCCTAGTGGACAGATGGGTACTACCCGAGTCAGAAAAACACGGAATGACGGACCTAACGGAACATCACATTCGTGTGATTGATGAAACACCAGTACAACATGCCGTCAGACGTATGTCGCCAATTATGCTAACATGGGCCCAAGAGAACGCAGCCAAGTTATATAAACTAGGAATAATCGAGCCATCTGCTAGCCGTTGGAGGAGCGCGCCGGTAATCACCAGAAGAGGAGAGAACGATTTTCGACAATGCAATGACTATAGAGATGTCAACAAAGTCACCATAAAAGATGGGTATCCATTACCATCGATAGACTACATATTGGATAAACTTCGAAAAGCCAGGTATTTGTCGAAAATTGACCTCAAACTGGCCTACCACCAGATTCCAATGGCCAACGAGAGCAAAAAGTATACAGCTTTCGCCATCCCGGGGTCAGGACTATGGCAATTTTGTCGGATGCCGTTCGGACTTATGAACGCGCCGATGACATTTCAACGAATGATCGACGCGTTGCTTGGGCCAGAAGTAGAGCCGCACGTCTTCGGATACCTCGATGACATAATAGTAGTCACTGAGACATTCGAAGAACACGTCAAATGGCTTGAATTAGTCCTACAGAAATTGAACGAGGCTAAATTGTTGGTAAACCCGGATAAGTGTGAGTTCGGTTGTTCCGAAGTCACTTATTTGGGTTACTTACTAGACAGCGAGGGTCTGAGGCCAGACCCGAAGAAAATCGAGCCAGTAATGGAGTATCCAGAGCCGAAGAACGTGAAGCAAGTTCGTCGTTTCTTGGGAATGGTTGGATGGTACTCCCGCTTCATCCCTAACGATAGTGACATCAAGCTGCCGTTGCTAAAACTGCTGCATAAGGGCCGAAAATGGGAATGGGGAACGGAACAACAAGAAGCATTTGAGGAGCTTAAAGAGAAGCTCACTTCAGCGCCGGTCCTAGCTCGCCCAGACTTCAGCCAGCAATTCACAATTCAATGTGATGCGAGCAGTTATGCCGTCGGAGCCGTGTTGACACAAGAATTTGAAGATGGTGAACATCCTATCATGTACATCAGCCGAGTGTTGTCAGAAGCCGAGAAAAACTATAGCGTGACGGAAAAAGAGTGCCTAGCGTTGTTATGGTCGATCAAAAAGTTCAGACCGTATATCGAGGGGTACAAATTTAAAGTGATTACCGATCATAGTGCCCTGAGATGGCTCAAAAACTTAAAAGACCCGACAGGCCGTCTAGCCAGATGGGCCTTGGAAATGCAACAATGGGACTTCGACATCATACATAGGAAAGGGGCCCAACACCACGTGCCGGATGCATTGTCCAGGATGCAAGAGAACGAAGAAGAAGACGTGTCCGCGTTTGACTCCATCGAGGATCGATGGTACCTCAAACGCCGAGAGATAGTGAGCCAATACCCTCAACGTTTCCCAGGGTGGACCGTGGAAAACGATAACCTTTATCGCCATAGAACCGATCCCTTGCTTGTGCCGATAATAGGAGATGAGGATGGTTGGAAATTAGTTGTGCCCGAAGAACACCGAGAACGTGCCATGAACGACGCACATGCGCAAGCGTCAGCCGGACACCTGGGTGTTGAGAAAACTTACGACCGTCTAGCCAGAGAATACTACTGGCCAGGAATTTGGAACGATGTCCACCACTATGTGACTCATTGTAAACAATGCCAGGTACATAAAGTCTCTCAAGCCGGACCAGTCGGATTGATGGGCCAGAGGATTGTCGAGAGACCATGGTCAGTAGTAGCCGCGGATACTATGGAATTTCCTCCTAGTAAAAGCCGTTGCAAGTACTTGGTCGTGTTCCAAGACTTGTTTTCCCGATGGATCGAGGTAAAACCACTAAGGTCAGCAGACGGGAAATCAATAGCCAGAGCCTTCGAAGAGTTAATATTGTTTCGCTGGGAGACGCCGGAGTACCTATTGACAGATAATGGTAAAGAGTTTGACAATAAATTCCTCAAAGGTACCTTAGAAGAATATGGTGTCAAACATATCACTACGCCACCGTACCATCCACAGGCCAACCCAGTCGAGAGAAGCAATAGGACGCTGAAAACGATGATTTCCACCTTCATTGGCCAGGACCATCGAGATTGGGATCTGCACATCCATGAGTTTCGCCATGCCGTGAATACTGCGGCGCAAGCTGCTACCAAGACATCGCCTGCGTTTCTTAACTTTGGCAGACACCCCAAACCAGTCAAGAGTCTGCGGCGAGAAGTCGAGAGGAGAAAGAGAGTCGTGAAAATCGAGCCGGAAGTCTGGATAGATCGAGTAAAAAGACTAGACGCACTGAGAGACATAGTTGCCAGGCTAATCGATAAAGAGCGTGATAGACAAACGAGATATTATAATAAGGGCCGGAAAGATACGGTATATCAAGTAGGTGACTTAGTGTTGCGAAGAACACATAAATTATCAAGCGGTGTGAACAAATTCGCGACCAAGCTTGCGCCAAAATACGAAGGCCCATTCGAAGTGGTAGAAATATTATCGCCAACGGTATACATGTTACAAGCCGGAAAAAGCCGTAGAATCCCTAAAGTGCATGTAACTGACCTCAAACGATATTTACCCCCCACAAACATAAATAACTAATTGTAATTCTTATTTGTAGACGGAGGTGTGTACCAGTGCCGGAGACGGAATTCTAGGAAGAGAAAGATGCCATATTCAAAGAAAGGTACCAGAGGAGAGTCACGGCCTAGACACCGGCCATCGTCAGAGTTTAACCCAGTTGACAATAACGGATCGAGGCCAAGGACGAGTCGGACAGTACCAGTGCGCAGAACCTTCGTAGAGGACCAACCAAGATATGAGGAGCGAGAGAGACCATCCCTTTTAAGCTTCCCTATCACGGAAACGGTGCGTCAGACACCAATTGTGCCGGAAAAGAAGAAAGAACGTGTGGAGGAGACCCACACCAAGTGCCAGAAGGAAAGAGAAGGGAGTAATGACAAAATAGGAGAAGAGGAAGGAGCCGTCGGAGGGGTTTTAGAGCCGATTATCCCGGTCGACCAATGGGACGACATAGCTAGCCTTGAGAGAAAAAGGGAACCCAAGATGAACCCAAATGTAGAGATCGTCGTGCCATATCGTTGGCCACTACAACGAAAGAAGGGAGAGAGCAAGGAGGCTTTTCACAGTCGGTTAGCCGAGGAAGACTTAGAGAGATTCCTCAGACAAATGGATAAACCGACATCCTCAAAACTAGAAGATCTCCGTTATAAGCAGAGACAGGTTCTAAAGGAACGTTCCGGTGGTGTTTTACGGAAAGAGGATATAGAAAGTAGGCACCCGACGCCCCAGCGACCTCGTTCTCACACGCCACCAGGACCACCAATCGTCCAATGGAAACTGGCGCTGTGAGAAAAGAACGTTCCGGAAAGCCAGGACGAGAAGAACCAACCCGACCCTTAAAAGTAAAGACAAGAGGAGTTATGTTCGGAGGACTTAAAGAGATCCCAACTGATGTAGATCTCGACCCTCCTCCGTATTCATGCTTCAATTGTTGGCAAAGAGGTCACGCAGCGAACTTTTGCCCAAGCACCATAAAAAGGACTTACTGTTTAAATTGTGGCCGACGACGAGTGTCAGTACATAACTGCCCCCGTTGTAGCGAACAAGCAAAACGGTATATATGGGAGGACGAAATGGAAGAAAGAGACGAGAGACTAGAAAAGAGGAGAGAAGAAACGGAAGAGCTGACGAGAGAAATTGAACTGGAAAACGAGATGATAGTCCGGAGAAAGAGATGATACAAGAGCCAGAAGCCGATGACGATTTGGTAGAAAAGTTGCTCAAACTGACCAAAGCGTTTGAGGGGCTACCAGCGTCAACTTTGGATTTGGCAATCCGTCAACTTCTAGAGGAGAGAAAACGGGCGAGGAAGTAAGAAGACCAAAAAGGTGTGCCAGGTAGAGAATTAGTCGTGCCAGGTAGAGAATTAGTCGTGCCAGATAGAGAATTAGTCGTGCCAGATGAAGATTTGTTCGTGCCAGGAAGGATAAATAGAAATTGCCAGAAATGAGCCAGACAGTGGCCAAAGATTTGGTTACTGACGGTCCTACAAGGAGTAGTACCGGTCATGGGGGGGGATTGTGACGGAGTGAATCGTCACGCCATCTCTGAATAATTTCCCCCCGACCGGTGCTGAGTGCGGACTGCGGTAATGTAGGTGCCGAGCTGCCAAGTGACCCACTAGTAGAAAAGAAAGTGTGTCGCTTGGCAAGTTAGTTCGGTAGTGCGAGGTCAGGACCAGCGAGTAGGTGAGAGAGAGATAGGAGGAGTGCCAAGAGAAGCGGAAAGAGAGAGAAGGAAGCTAGGAAGAAGACGAGGCAACAGGTGAAAGAAAGCGTCGGTGTCTTGACAATACTTTTGCCACCATTATTGCTTTAGCACGTGCTGAACTACTTTTGTCGCGCTTCGTATTAGAGAAACGTACGCGAGTAATTTCTTTCTTTTTGTATAAAAGGTGAGAATATTTTGAGAAAGTGGTTGAGAGTAATTTGAAATTTGTAGAGATTTAGAGCGGAATACTAAGTGTTGTGATTAATTTTGAGAAATAGGTGTAGATTAAAAATAAAGAGAATATTTTTGTGAAGTGAAATTAGTTGGAGTTCATTTTTGTTCCGGTGAGACCTTCCCTTACAACACCCTAGAGCGTCGCCAGGAGCCGAGTTTCACCGGGTGCTGAACTACAAATCATCGTGGGTAAGTCCCACCAATATTGTGCCAGTCTTGGTCCAGTCGTGTCCCAGCGTTAGCGTTTCTGTCGTCATTTTCTCGGACAGAATTCCCTCATGAGAGTGAGAGTGTCTCTGAGGTTTTGCTAGCCGTTTTGATTGTTGTTCATGTAATTGTGTCTAAAGTTTATTAATTAATCTTAAAATTAATTGGCGCCTGATGGCGAATTTTTAAATAATATAAAAATTCCATAGAGTTAAAATTGAGCGTCAGGTTTCTTGATGTTACAGAAAATTCTTTATCAATATTTCTTTATTAAATTAGAATTAACGTCATAGTATATAATAATATTATATATTATTAATATATTTAATTACTTCTACTAAACATAACGTTTTATGTCAAACTTATTAAATTTTAGCAATTTTGAATTAGTGTCTCACAACTGGAGACATTTTTTTTTTTGACAAAAGCGATGTGCTCGGAAAATGTATCGTAAAATTTTTTGAGTTCATAGAAACACTACACTTTCTTTTAACCCCTTGGCTGTCAACGAGATTTCCACTGTTTGGGCCAAAAGTGTGTTGAAAAAATTTTTAATGGATTTTCATGAAACTTGGTATCCTAAGGTTTCTGGGGTCGCTGATTACGAATCTGACATCAGTTTTTCGAAATTCAAAACATCTAGTTCAATATGGCGGAAATTTTTTTTAAATTTATTGAATTTGTTTGAAACTGGTTAATCTGACATCAGTATGATAATTTTTGGTGAAATCAAATTTCGGAAAATACTCTGCAAAACTAATGTCAGATTCGTAATCAGCGACCCTAAAAACCCCCGAGTATTCAGTTTCAAGCCATTATAATTAATTTTTTATTTTGTCGTCTGCCACATTGGATCCGCCATTTTGAATTTTGGAAAACTAATGTTAGATTCGTAATCAGCGACCCTTAAAACCCCCGAGTAACAAGTTTCAAGCAAATTCAACGAATTTTGAAAAAAATTCCGCCATCTTGGATCCGCCATTTTGAATTTCGAAAAACTGATGTTAGATTCGTAATCAGCGACCCCAAAAACCCCTAAGTATTACGTTCCAAGTCAATCTGATCAATTTTTATATTTTGTTTTCGGCCATATTGGATCCGCCATTTCTAATTTTGGAAAACGAATATCATATTCGTAATCAGCGACCTCGAAAACCCCCGAGTAACCGGTTTCAGGAACATTTAAGAAGTTTTTAATCACCTTTTTTAAGTTGCGCATATATGCGTCATGAACCACTTTTGGCCAGTTTAGTTTTGCGCATATATGCGTCAGCGACAGTCAACGGGTTAATAAAAGTTGCGTATTTCTGTAACCTTTCAAACGGTGTATTTTATTTACAATTTCGTTTACCCCACGGTGTGCTTGAATGAAGTCTAAATAAAAAGTTCTCCGAAATGAAGTTTTTTGACAAATTTTATTAATTTGGGCCTCCCTGAGTATTTTCCAATAAAAAAAGAAAAAATCGGTCGGGCCGTTTTTGAATGGGGTTAATTTTAAGGGTTGGAATTCGGTAAAATAAGAAAAAAACTTTTTTGATCAAAAATAATATTTAAAAAAAACTTTTTTGGTCAAAACTTTATTTTTTAATTATTTTGGATTATTTTAAGACGAAAATATTTCTTCTCATTTCTTAGGAAAATGCGTTTTTTTAAAATTATGAATATTTCAAAATTTTTAAGTATTTTCTTTATACGTTTAGATTTTGTTTTCTTTAACTATAAAAAAATTTAGTTTATGATACAGAACTGCAATAAATAACAAGATTTCTAATTTAAAGCATGAAAATTATTTATTTTATCAAGTCAACAATAAAATTTAAAAAATTTGTTTGAACATAAAATTCTAATATTGCGTAACATGCTCATACACGAAGAGAAATTTCTATGAATATTTACCGTGTTACTACCTAAAACTGTGTTCAAAGTGTATTCCTGCAGTTTTTACAGTGCTGCCTCTACAATTTTGCATTACAGATTGTAGAGGCAGCAGGAAAACACTTTGAACACAGTTTCAGGTAGCAGCACGGTAAATATTCATAGAAACTTCTCTCCGTGTATTGAACAGTGTTAAATTCATTTTTGATCGGTTAATATTTACGGTTGCCCCTTGAACCTTAAAGTTTTGAAAAATCTCACTTTTGGTTTTTTACTCTTTTTTAAAATTTATAGAGAGCTGTTCTTATTAAAGTTTCTCGTTGTTTTAATCTACTAGAAACCACAGCTGGCTACAGGTTTGTCCAAAAGACAAAAAACCGTAACTTTTCGCTTAACCCTTTCAGTCCCATAATTAGTACAATTGAAAAATATTTCCAATAGGTATAGTACCTATTGCATTCGTGGTCGCTGATTTCGAATCTTAAGTCAGATTTAAAAAATTTTTTAAATTCAAAATAGTAGATCCACTATGGCGTACGATGAAGTTAAAAATTATTCAATTTAACTTAAAAGTAGTCATTCAGGGGATTTTCGGGGTCGCTGATTACAAATCTCGAGTCAGTTTTTAAAAATTCAAAATGGTGGATCCAATATGTCAAACAAAATTAAACAAATTTGCTAGAAAGTTGGCACTCGGGGGATTCTGCACGGAGAAAAAGGAATAGTTGACACATCCAGATACATGGATATCACAGCCATATTATATTGAAAAATACGGGATATCCATAGTTAAGGTTGCTGCATCCATATTTTATGGCTGGCTGTATATTGTTAGAGCAGCAAAAGACCTATGGTTGGGTGATCCATAGTAATGGAAATGGGAAACAAAAAATTGGAATCACTCAATTAATTAGATTCAATGTCACTTGAGATATTTTATACAAATTTTTGTTAATTAATACACAACACTTATTGAATAACCGCATATTAACGAAATAAATTATTAACCGATGGGAAGAGACACGAACCCTAGACCTAACGCATACTAAACACTAACGCTATCCACTACACTATACACGCAACTACAATATTTGAGCATATAATATTCCTTATATACTCTACACATATTTCATGAAAATGAATTTACATAAAACACTAATAGACAATAACGATAATAAATAATAAACAATTATAACACTATTTATACACAATAAACTCACAACGTGATTATATAGACGTGACAGGAAACCGACGCGACGGAAAAATTGAGACGACCATTTTTAAATGGATGCCATGATAATGAATTGCGCGCAACATGTATCGAAATTTTAAACTAACTATGGATCTCCCAACCAAAGTTTATATGGATGAGGCAGCCATATGTGAAAATCCATAGCATGAATTGTAAGCCCAACCATGCCTATGGATGTCACATCCATATTTGATTCAACAATATAATATGGCTCCCTCATCCATTGAATATAGAATGTGCTTCCATTCTGAAAGTTGTCTCTTCCATTGAATTGGATAACACAACAATATTCTGCTCAACAATATTTTTATGGATATCTCTTCCAGACCTTTTTTTTCCGTGTAAGGTCGCTGATTACGAATCTGAAGTCAGTTTCTAAAAATTAAAAATTGCGGATTCAATGTTGAGGAAAAAATTTAAAATTAAACAAATTTGCTTAAAAGTTGGCATTTGGAGGTTTTTGGGGTCGCTAATTTCGAATCTGAAGTTAGTTTTTCTAAAATAATAGATA